AAACTATACCGACAGCCACACTCAGACCCACACCCACCCACACCCCACCCACACCCACACCCACACCCACCCACATCCCAAACCCACACCCACATCAAAACATGTGATATTTTGGCACAGTTGAGTATGCCTATTATTTATTTCTCTTGATAAATTTTCATTAAAAGATTCATCTTTGATCATATTATTAGACATGAAACAGATAAATAGATTTGTCTGCCTATTATACTGAACAAGAAAGAATCCCACGGCACTATTTTTGAAAACATTTAGGTCTATAAGCAGTCAAGGTAAATCGTGATTTTTATTCTAAGAATAATTAAAAATCTAAGTTAACTATGCTATTACAGATCAGGATAATAGTATTGTAATACCTACACTTGGTTATATGTTATGTCAGCATCAGTTATTTCAGATAAATAAAATAAAATGGCATATAAATAAATTGAAGTCTTCAGTCGAGACGGTAAGTGTTACATATTGAGTAAATTCTTGTAAATTTCTTCAGCTAGATCAAAGTGGCCTACTCTCTGCATTAGTTTGGCAATTCGATTCCATCCGGTTCCGTCGATATCCTTTCGTAGGGCTTGAGTAAGTGCAGCCATTCCTGAATCATTGGCTGTTGTAAGAGCCAATTGAACTTCCCATAGGCGATTGTTATCAGCCATCTGTTTAATTTCACCAACACGAAAAACTGTGTGTGTTGAGAAGAGAACTTCGTGTTTTTGTGGATTAGCACTGTATTTGTCAATGAAGGCGAATGGAACAGTTGGAATTGATACTTTGCTCGGATCGATTGTTATAATAAAGAGAACACATACATGGTTTCTATGTTTATGCAATGCATGTTGAACATATTCCATAGCTACTTCTTTTTGCGTACTAGTCAACAAGAAGTTGTTGAACGAGATAATTCCACCTTTCTTAGTCAGTAATTGTTCAAAGTCTTCCTGGGAATATTTTTGCCCACGATACACGAGAAACGGTTTCAAATGTGTATTTGATTGTTCGTTATACAGTTGTTCTAATTGTCGATGTAAACTGCGAATGAAAAAGCCCATTTTTGTCATGGTCTCCATGTTCAATGACTGTAATGCTTGATCGAGCATGTTGGGAAGGGACTTTGCAGAAGTATACCACCAGATTGGTGATTTCTGATGGAATCCTTGTTGAAAGTTCTGTAATTCTGTTTCAGAAATACCTTTGCTACGACAGTAGGAAACCAAATCATTTAAGGGTTTTGCATCATCTTCATTAATATCTAATATGAATTCTTTGAACAGTTGTGAATACATATACGTTGGATCTAATTGGTCAACATTTTGCGGATCAGCTTCTGCCATTATCTGTTTAAAATTTTTACTGTGTGATAAATAATCAAGAATAATAAAAAAAAATAAGTTTTCCTTAAAACATATTATCTTCTTTATTTATACAGGGTCACTTTTGTGCCATCCTGTACATTAGATGCCTACTATTTTTCTTCAAGGTTAGTCTACGTCGTCAAATTGAGTATTTTTTCTTTGCGTTAACATTCAATAACAAGTGAAAAAAATCGAACAATGTGATTTGTCGTAGTGTTACTCTTTCCAACTTCCAGTTACTTCTCTCTATAGGGTGACTTGCGTATTCTTGAGTTGAGTATTTTGTTTTATGTACTATGCATTCTTTTTACTTTTTTTCTTTTTATGAAGAAGAAAAAAAAACACATCATCTGTTCGATTTTTTCCAAAATGATCACCGGTCGCAGTGGCCTATGGTCCAAAATCAGAACACTACACCATTATGAAAATATAATTTGAAGAAAATAACTTTATTGACGAATCAAGCATGATTGATTTAGTTGGAGTTTGCCTTATGAATAGAGAATGTTAACATCAATCAATAGATAATAGATATATAATCGATCTTTTCGTTCAACATACATATTTGATATTCGATACAACTTTATTAATCCTTTTCTATCTCTCGTCATTTATGAGATATTTCAAAAAAACTTTAATCGCATATTTATTGTCGACATATGTATCTGTTTAAAGATTTACTTTATACTTGGACACAGATAAGTTTTCTCATAGAAATTATTATTCGAAAGTCGCAGCGAGTCTGATCTTCAAGCGTAACAGGATTAAAACCTGTTTTTCTTAAAGATGACAAGCACTTTTTTACCCTATTTTTCAATACCACAATCTGTTGATAAGACTGTATTACAGTCAAAAATTTCTTATACATCAGCGAACTTGTGCTATACCTGAGGTGATGTCTTTTACTGTTCAAAATAGTCACAGATTGAGTTCTTCTACTAAATACTCAAATGAACTTGAAAGAAACGCAAGTTTGTCTTTTGATGAATCACGTTAAAACAATGAAATCATATATTGTGATTGAAGCTGATAAAAACTATTATTCAAAGTGAATTAAATAGTCTGGAATCAGAACTAAAGGTCTGCGGGAGAACCTTTTTTATTTTTCCGTCCCAAATTTTTCGGATTGTCCCGTAAAATCCCGTTTGTCATGTTAACTGACTGGAATATAGAAATATTGTTTTTGGAAAGACGAATACGTCTTTTCTATACTAATTATTAATGGATAACATGGATTCATATAGATAATTATTAGATGAACTAGCTAGCTTTTTATTTACGCA